AAATTTTTCCCATATGATCTAGTGGCGAGGATATCTCACAGATTTTCGAAAATCTTACTCACAGCATTCAAAACATAACAATATAAAACATTTCTAAAATATCTACTTAGAAAGTTTTATTGGCGAACAATGATTCTCCGATATAACCTAAAGGCAAGAATAAAAACATTTAAAATTATTAAATTCTCATTTAATATTATTAACATTTTTCCCATATGATCGAGTGGCAAGAGTATCTAGCATATTCGGCATATACATCCATTATATTGTCAATTTATATAGCTACATTTTAGAGTACATCGCTACATTTATTTGTTAAAATACACACATACAAAATTATCTACACATGAATCTATCTGCCAGAATTGTTTGTGTTCTCGTCGCTTCATTGCATTTGTAGTTTAATAATCCGAAAGGATTACATATTTATCGCAACTATACAAGGACTATCAACATTTCGTTATCGCACTATGGCTGTCTCTTCTATAGTCTATGAGCTTAATGAACCTCTATAAAGTTTCTATATATGATGGCATTTTCCTACCCCACCAACTACCCACTGGTAAATGTGTGTGTGTGCGAAACACTAATACTAAGCTACTTAACTGTTGCAGGATAACACAAAATGTGTGTGAGTCGATTCAGTACGTTTTTATTTATTTTTTCTTTAGTATTTTCTCACTATAGCAACATTTGTATTGGGTAATGCGTTGCAGAGACGAATACGTGTCGTGTTCCAATTAGATTTTCCATGTTGTTCTTCTTCTCTTTGATTTTTCAATTCAGAACTGGACAACGTTTTTCACTACATTGTCAATGTAGTGAACGCTGTTGTCACATTCAGAGTCAGAATCAACAAGACACCATAATTTCGAAAACATTAAATAAACAGGACAACGTCTGACAGCACTCAAGGATAGGGGGTTTTACTTTTGTGAAACATTTATTGAAATTGATTTTTTTCCAAGGAAAATAACAGGAGTGTTAATACTTTGAAATTTACGATTAAATATTGGGTTTATTTTTGGTCAAAGACCTACAAAATGGTAAAATATTAATTGTTGGGTATTTTCATTTTGTAAAATGATCTGGTGTCGAGTACACAATTTCAATTCTAGCATTTTCTTAATTTTACTATTGCTATCTTTATCCCATATGGTCGAGTGGCGAGGAAATCAAGCAGACTTTAGATTTTTTTTTTTTTTTTTTTTTTTGAAACGGCACAACTTCGTTTCTTTTTGTCAAACTCCCAATTCTGCTAAAATCTTCAGAAAATTTCTTAAAAGGCACAACTCCAATTCATTCTGTCAAATTTTCAATTATGCTAAAATCTTTACAAAATTTCTTAAAGTCTCTTTCATTTGCTTGCCAACTGGGAAATATTTTTTCTTCTTGTTTTGAAATGGATGAAAATAACATTTCCGCTTTCTCATCTCATCTGTGAGCTCAATCTTGGAAGATTGACGGTGGAAGATTGATGGTGGAAGTGAGTGAAAGAACCTTCATCTATCATCCCGTTTGTTATGTTCTTCCCTGCAAATGGCATCTCTGTTGAAAAATTCTCCCGCTTTGGAGGATTATGCAATTTTGAAATTACAGGTGTTTGGCTATGAACTTTCCGACCGTTCACCTCGTAAGTCTTGTAGCATGGATAACATTCCTTATGTAGCCTTTAAAAAATAATAGAAAACACCGTTCTGTTCTTTTTGACAAAATCATTTTAATGATTGCCCGAATTTCAATATTGAAAAGAGGCCATAATTGTTCCTATATTGAAGTGAGACTCCGATTCCTGTCATTGTGAATTGCCCTAAATGTGGCAATTATAAGAAAGAAGAACTGGTAAGGGATTTTAGGATTAGGAGGATTCTACGCGATTTCCCGTTTGGTTTTTAGGCCCGTCCGTTTTATGTCTCAATGACTTTTAATAAGTTTGTTCACAAAGGTTGATCCAGGAAGCATGGAACCGCATTTGTCTCATTACATACTGCCAAATGCTTCCAATTTAGTTCGGCATAATGACATTTTATATAAATTTCAGTCATACATAAGCTGTTTGGCATCATGTCTAGGCATATAAATGTCAAATTGTTAGGAAAGACGACAGCATTTGATACCGGCTCTGCCATCCATTTATGATATATCACAAAATATACCAAGCGAAAACTTCGATGAGCTTATGTGCCCACACATTAAGAAGATGCTCTGAAGCTTCCTCCCTATTTGTATCAAAACCTTAAGAGGTATAAATTTGAACTAGGTTATCCCAAGTTCTTTTCCTGATGTTTTTTTTTTCAGTAAAAATCAATCAATCAAAATCAATAGATAAATGCTCTTACTCTTCCTAACATTTACTCTTCTAAAATTAATTTAATTTAAAATTAATTTGCTATAATTGTTAAGTTTCAATTATTTGTTTACCGTTTTTCACCCAGTGTTGAAATTATTTCTTCTGCTGGCTATGACTTTCGCCGGTCTTAAGTTCCTCCAATCTTTTCAGGGGGTCAAATTTGAACTAGATTATCTTTCTTTTGTTCTTTTTTCAGTAGAAATTAGCCAAAAAGTATGCCTCAAAGATTCCCTTATCAGGGTATTTAATTTTTTAAAATTCATGTGAGAACCCAAGATTTGCTTCTGCATTCCTTTCTTCTATATTTGATAATTTTCAGGTATTTGTTTCCACTTCTTATCCAGTATTTGATTTATTTCTGCTGTCTGGCATTATTGTTGGTATCAAAACCTAAAGAAAGTCAAATTTGTTCCTTTGTTCTTTTTAAGTAAAAATCACCCGATGACTTATACCAGGTAAATCCTCTGATACCTTAATTTGGAAACTCAAGATTTTTTCCGAATCCCTTTCTAGCTATACTTTATTGGTTTGAAGGATTTATTTTCGTTTTTTTCTGCTGGCTGGCTTTTGCTGGTATTAAAATCTCAAGAGGGAGGAAGATTTAAACAAAGTTATCCTAATTTCCTCTGTTCTTTTTCAGTAAAAATCAGAGAATGACCTGTGTCAGATAAATCATCTTAGATTTCTAGGTATTCAGCCTTTTAAATTTAATGTGAAAATCCGATCCGTTTCTCGCTATTTCAATTATTTGTAGGTGTAAAATTGAACTACATTATCCTAAGCTTTTTCAGTTTCAAATTTGAACTAGGTTATCTCTCTTTTGTTATTTTCAAGTAAAAATTAGCCGAAGGCTTATGCCTCATAAATTCGCTAAAGCTTCTGCGTATTTACTTTTTTAAAATTCAAGTGAGAACCCAAGATTTGTTTCTGGATTCCTTTCTCGGTATTTACCTGATAAGTTTCAGGCATTTGTTTCCGCTTTTCATCCAGTATTTGACTTATTTCTGCCGTCATTATTGTTGGTATCAAAACCTCAAGAGGGTCAAATTTGTTCCTTTATACTTATTCCAAATAAATCCTCTGAATCTTTAATTTGAAAACTCAAGATTTTTCCGAATACCTTTCTCTCTACGCTTTATTAGTTTCAAGTATTTATTTCAGTTTTTCATTCAATGTTAAGTTAATATTTCTGCTGGCTGACTTTTGCCTCAAGAGCTCAAAGCTCCTTTGTCCTTTTGCAGTAAAAATCAGAAAATGACCCGTGCCAAATAAATCATCTTAGGTTTCTAGGCACTGGGCCTTCTAAAGTTAATGTAAAAATCAAAGATTTGTTTCCAAATCGGTTTTCCACTATTTGCTACATTTGAAAAGTCACAAATATTTGTTTCCGTTTTTCGCACAGTGTTTGACTTCATTCTTCCGCTGGCTACGACTTTTTCTGGTATTAAAATGTTAAGAGGTGCCAATTTAAACTATATTTGATCTTTTTCAGGGTCAAAATTGAACAAGGTTATCTTTATTTTGTTCTTTTTCCCTTAAAATTAGCCGAAGACTTATGCCTCATAAATTCTCTTATGCTTCTGGGTATTTACTTTTTAAAATACATATGAGAAACCAAAATTTGTTTCTGGATCCTTTTCCGGTTATTTGCTAAGTTTGAAAAATTTGTTTCCGTTTTTCAGCCAGTACATTTGATGACTTACAAATATTTGTTTCCGATTTTCGCACAGTGTTTGACTTCTTCTTCTGCTGGCTACGACTTTTTCTGGTATTAAAATGTTAAAAGGGGCCAATTTAAACCATATTATCCTAAGATCATTTGATCTTTTTCGGGGTCAAAATTGGTTATCTTTTTTTTTTGTTCTTTTTTTGTTAAAAATAGCCGAAGACTTATGCCTCATAAATTCTCGTATGCTTCTGGGTATTTACTTTTTAAAATACATGTGAGAACCCAAGATTTGTTTCTGGATCCTTTTCCGGTTATTTGCTAAGTTTGAAAAATTTGTTTTCGTTTTTCAGCCAGTACATTTGATGACTTACAAATATTTGTTTCCGTTTTTCGCACAGTGTTTGACTTAATTCTTCTGCTGGCTACGACTTTTTCTGGTATTTAAATGTTAAGAGGTGCCAATTTAAACTATATTTGATATTTTTCAGGGTCAAAATTGAACAAGGTTATCTTTTTTTGTTATTTTTCAGTTAAAATTAGCCGAAGACTTATGCCTCATAAATTCTCCTATGCTTCTGGGTATTTACTTTTTAAAATACATGTGAGAACCCAAGATTTGTTTCTGGATCCTTTTCCCGTTATTTGCTAAGTTTCAAATATTTGTTTCCGTTTTTCACCCAGTATTTAATTTAAATCTGTCATCATTGTTGGTATCAAAATCTCAAGAAGTTTCTTTGTTCATTTCAGTAAAAATCTGAAAATGGCTTGTGTCTAATAAATCCTCCAAAATTTTTAGTCATTTACCCTTCTAAATTTAATGGAAGATCCCAAGATTTGTTTCTGGACCCCATTCTCGCTTTTTATAAGTTTCAAATAGTTCTTTCTGTTCTTCGCACCGTGCTAATATCATTGTTCGGCTTTCGGTCGCCATTAAAATCTTCAAAGGTACCCAAAACTTCAAAATTCAAAATTTCGACTTACCTCAATAACACTGTCGCGACCCAAACCGGATAACACCTTACGATTCAATTGCTGTTTACGTGCAATGGCCGCTGCGTTGGCCAAACGTCCGGCGCCACCCGCCGAACCCACTAATCCTGTGGCAGCTGCCGCTGCTGTGGCAATAACTATTTCGTCTTCCTCTTCTTCGTCGTCGTCGTAATCAACGTTGCAATCAGCGTCGTCATCTACTTCTTCGTGATCGTCCAATATATTATCGTCGTCTTCATCGAGACCCGAACCGGCACTTAAATTAAAATCATCCGTGGCGGCGGTATCGATTTCTAATTGTTCTTGAAAACTTAAATCTAAATCTTGGGGTAATTTTGCATATTTCTTGTGGTTTTTCATTGCCTTGGATCGCTGTGAAGTTGATTGACAGATAACAACAAGAAAGATGGTGAGGCGACGGCAAGTATAGTAAACGTTGCAAAATGCAACAATGTGCCAAATTTGAGGTTATCTCTATTTTCTGTTCACTAGTCTGAAATGGTGTTTGTTGTTCTTGTTTTTGTTTTGGTTTTAAGGGCTGTTTTCTTGACGTCACTTCTTCTTCGTCTTTTTTTTTTTAATTATCCAATACGATGATGCAATAAATGCAATAACTCCACTGTATTTTTACTTATAAAAACACCACACAACTAATTGATTGATGAATTTGTTTTGTTTTATTTGGCTGCCTTCTCAAAGGGAGGAGGGAGAGAGCGAGAGAGTCAAATTCTCTTTCTCGATTATGATTTGTCTAACAGTTATCATCAAAACAACACTTGCCGCATAAGAGCTAGGCCTACTACATTTCTCACATTCCATCCAACTCTCTTTTGGGTTTGTTATGCTTTGAGAGTGTGGTTGTGTGAGAGTAGACTACGAGGGGTTTGTTGTTATTTTCCTTTTTATATGGCGCACCACTCAAAACAATGCAGAAATGTGGGGATGTGTTTGTGTTGTTTTTTTGTTTGTTTCAAGGGTTTCTTTGGTGAGTCATGGCTGGCTTGGAATTGATTTTATTTTTATCGTTTTATTATTATTGTTATTTTGCTGGTTTTACTAAATTCTTTCTAGAAATTGTTATTTTTAACTATTTTTAAACACTTTTTACTTTTTTACAATTAACTTCTAAAAATGGGGACAATCGATTTTCCTTGTTTCCATTTATTCACTTTTTTGCTTTATTTTCTGTTTCTTTATTGTTGCCTGGCCAAGAAAAGCCTTTAATCGTACATTACAATGGGCATTGTTGCCATGGGTTACCCCGTTTATATTTCTCATTGGCTTTAATGGTGCTGTTCTATATTCTATGGTCGGAATGTATGGGTTTTCACCAACAGGTTTTCATAGTATTTTCCATTACAACTCACTCCCCCATTGATTTTTATTCTTTTCTACTTTTTCATACTCTTGTTCTTATTCTTTTTATTTTTCTTCCTTCTTTTCAATTGCTTCTTAAGAAAAAAAATCCCTTTCTTTTGTTTGGAGGTTTGATTTGCCAACAATCGTTGTTTTTTATTGTTGTTGTTGTTGTTCTACTGCACCACATGCCAACTCCATGGGCGAAAATTGGAGCAGCGAGGAGCCGGAAGATTTCCTCAGAAACATATAAACTTCCAAGGAGTCTTGTGAACAGCCAAGATGATGGCGACAAATGCACGTTGCTGCTTCATTGAATATTTAAGGAGCCATAAAGAATACACAACACTCGCTCTTTATGCCGCAGGGAGGCAGGGCAGACAGACGGACCGACCGACCAACCGACAGGCAGACACACTGTAAGTTTTCACACACAAACACAAATTCTTGGTTTTTTTTTCAAACATCCCCCACAATTTGTGGCCTTCTATTGGGGCGTTAGGGCAATATTTTCAATTTTCCACAGAAATTTCGCTTTCAATATAATTTATTTTTCTGTTTGACATTTCAAATTGGGTTGTTTCCCTAAATCTTATTTTTCACTTCTTCTTTTATTATTATTTTAAGTAAGTGTTAGTGACTTCCGTTTTGAATCACATTAACCGACAGGAGAGAAAAAAATCAACCGCTGTTTTTCGCTATTTTTCCACTTCGACGTCTTGCTTGATTCGTTTTGTGAGACTATTGTGATGTGAGTTGCTTGAAGCGTCAACTATGCAAGTGATAATTTGGCCATATGCAAGTTGGCGCATGCTCCCAAAAAAAATATTCATTCAGGGTTGCAAAGCAAAGTAGTTATTTGTACAATTGGGGAGGTGGATGTGGACAAAGGTAAATGTCAAATAATCATATGACCAATACACTGAGAGCCAAAAATATGCAACAATTTTTAAAATCAAATTTTTTTAGACACAGAGCCTCTATTTTAAAAAGAAAGAAATTGCAAAAAAACTAATGATTTTTTTTTTCCAAAATTCAGGGCCACAGATATCAAGATCTTTGCGTATTGTGATTTCAATCACATTTAGTGTTTTGATAATTAATCAAATTGCCAGCAGTGATAAGTGGAGTTCCTATTTATTGTGACATATAAATAAAATTTTTTACATTACCCGACGTATTAAATGAGTCTTGGCCAGAACTCTTGATTTGACCGTCGATGGAAATTAAATCCCTACAACTTAAATTGCTCGCTTTCGAGCTCATAGTTGGTCTGCGTCCTCATCGTATATAATTAAACGATTCTATTTCTTAGGAACTGGATCTGGTTATCTCCCAAAAAAAGACAAAGGAGTCCCTGTCATAAGCACATCAATCCAAGGGGTAGATCTGTAACTGCAGTTTACCTACAAATGGTAGGCGAAACAAAAGGATTGCATTTGAGTTTGATATAACTGGAATATTGCTATCTATCTACTTAACGTTAGTTAATCAATAGTCTAGCGTAATGGTAGATCCCAGTGTATCCTAAATATAGACGTTTAGCCCTGAAGAAAAAGGTAACCTTATCTTTTTTTGTGTTTTTAATATTAAAATTTCTTCTGGAAGTCTGCTAGGTGTCCTGGCCCTAGACCATATGGGAAAAATAAATAAATAAAACGATTCCAATAAATAAGATAATAGATATAAAATTATATTATAAATGTAAAATTCAAATATTGTTTTGGAAATCTGCTACGTGTCCTTGCCACTAGACCATATGGAAAAATTATTTAACTTCTCTTGTAAGCAGGCTCCTATTGCCATAGGTTAGGTAGTGACAATTTGCACTTCAAAAAGAAAAATATTTTATTTAAAATCGGATCAAGAGCATCAACCCGCTCCAAATATAGATAAATAAAACGATTCCTAATAAAACAAGCAAATGTTGTAAATATAAAATTCCAATTTTTTGGAAGTCAGCTAGGTTTTCTAGCCTCTAGATTATATGTTCTTCAATTTTACTAGAAATCATGCCCTCATTGGCATAGGTTAGGTAAAGACAATCTGCAAGTCAAAAAGTAAAATATTTTATTAAAAATCAGATCAAGGAGCACCAACCCGCTTTTGATATGAATAAATGAATACATCCCTTAGAGAACTAACAAATATTTTTAAAGTTTGACTTTCAAAGTTAAGAGAATAAATATAAAATGCCATTATTATAAATACAAAATTACAATATATATTTTAGGAAATCTGCTAGGTCTCCTCGCCACTAGAAAAATTATTTAATTTCACTTGATAGCAAGCCCCTATTGCCATAGGTCAGGGTCAGGTAAAGACAATCTGCATGTCATAAAGAGAAAAATATTTATTTGCAAATCGGATCCCGCTTTTGATATGAATAAATAAAACCATTCTCGTCTTCGCAAAAACCTTTTGTTAGAAAAAATCTTTGTATGTGTGGGAGATACCAGAAAAAATTGTCCGATCTCTACCATTATTGTAACAGATATTGTGTTGATGGAAATATTGAGATGTTAGAAATTTGATTCATGGGTATTCAAAATGTTGACCCTTTCTGGGGGAGATACCGGAAGTAATAGACCGATATATACCATCTTCACAGCATATTTTGTGTTAGGATGTGTGAAATTTGAAGAGAACCGTATGCTTAATTCGGATTTTATGATCGTTTTGGTTCATACCAGAAGGTATGGTCCAACCTCCACCATCTTTATAACAGATCCTGTGCTGATAGAAATATTGAGATTTGTTAAGTCTAAATGGACTCGGATGTTAATTTCGCATTTTATGAACTTCATGGATATTCAAAATTTGATCCTTTTTGGGGAAGTTATCAGAAGGAGTGGACCGCTACATTCCATCTTCACATTAGACCTAGATCAACTCCAAATGTCCTGAAACGGATGTGGTACAATGAGACCTAGGGTCTAAAACCGTTATGTCGATTAGGATCGTTTTGGCCAAATGATATATACCCTCTCTAGCCATATGGCTGAAGGTATATAAACTAGCATTGAATCTACACCCGAACGACCTTTTCTTGCTTTTACACCACGTTCTAGAAGCTCGTTTTGGGCTTGGAAGTATTCTTAACAAATCCTCGCCTCGCCGATTTATGGTTGAAAATACAACAAAAAATCTCGTTTCTTGGACTCATTTATGTGTAGATATAGTCCTGGGAAATCCACGCCCAAACAGGAATTTTTTTACCAAGGGAAAATTGACTTCTTTAACTTTCCTTTAGTCATTCAAATAAGCATATCAATCTCTGCATTTTCTATAATTTACCTTGTAAAATTTATCTGAAGGAAAAAAAGGATTCCCAACTCTGGTACAATGGATTAACAATTATGAATTTTGACAAAGATTTTGTCAAAGCAATAACTTTGAAAAAATTGTAAACATATGATTGCATGACTTTACCTTCTCAATTCTACCATGTTTTTGCCGTAAAAAATTAATTAACAGCCTGTTCCACGATCTCGAAAGAAAATTTGTGCGAACGAAGGCTACTCACTCACTTTCGTTCTTTCTTTCGCATAGCCTTACGTGATTCAGTGTTGCAAAATACTTTTTGGCAAAATTAATCGCGAAATAAGGCAAAAAAAAGCGCCAAATGTCTAATATAAACGCGAAAAAGCAGCAGTGGCTCTGTCTCAACTGACAGTTCAGTTGTAAACAAACAAATTGTAAATAAACAAACAAAATAAAATTTCTAGTGATTGTGTTCAGTTTATTTGTGTTCTTAAAAAAGAAAAAAATGAATATTTCTGTAGCCCTATTTTTATGGATGATGAGGAGGAGGTTCAAATTGTGCCACGGAGGCATTTAAGAGATGCTTCGAATTTATTTGAAGTACCTAACAACCAGTAAGTATGATTGTATTTTTACATTTTTAAAATAATAAAAAAATGATTTTTTCTAGGTTTGTGTCTTCCAGTGGTCTTCATGGGATTGCCTGCTGCTTCCAAAAATTGGCACTCCTCTGGCGAACTTAGGATTCTCCCCCATATACTCAACTAGTGCCCGCAGCTGTGTAGTTTTTTCGTGCTGGAATTGAGAAAATAAAAAAATATATATTTGTTGTTCACAGATTAAATTGCATTTATTATTTTTACTTACATTTTTCTTTCCATTTTCAATCAAGGAATGTTTATGTTAAAACAATTTTCCTTAATTTTTATCATTCGACAGCAAACACACAAGTGACTGATTTTGACATTTGTGTTCGCATGCGTACGAAAGAAAAAAGATAGTGGAACGCAAAATTACACTGAAACGCTTACGTTTTCGTTCGCTTTGATTTTCGTGCAAATTTTCGTTCTGATGGATTTTAGTGGAACGGAAATCAGCTGTTTGTCGTGTAAAAGTTGTGCGAACGTGTTCTTTCGACATCGTGGAACAGGCTGTAAAAGTTACTTTTTGGGGGCCCGGTTTGATATTTCAAATATTTTGAAAAATTCTCATTTATTTTGCCTTAAAATATGCAACAGATTGTGTATGAACTGTTTCAGTTGTAACGTAGTAAGTACTTTCAGTGTTGGTAAACGGAAAAAAAGACATAAAAGAGATGTGTTCAGTGAACACAGCTCTTTCCAACTAAACACATCTGCACAGAGTTCTTTCGTTTAAGGGCTGAATGATTTATTTCCATTGAATTGTTAAATAAAATTAAATGAAATTTCCTTTCCCCTGTTTTTAAAATAAATCACATGTGATATTATTGTATTTATTTATTTGTGTTTTTTTTTGTAATTATTACATTTGTCAAATGGTTGTCGTTTTGTTTTTGACATTGTTTTTAATTTATTTTTTTTAGTTTATAATGATGATGATGATGATGTTGTTGTTAATGATGATGGTGATTATGAGATTTAAGGTATTTGTTTCTTTTTTTCATGATACGAGAATGATGTTGATGATAAACGAAATATTCACTTTTGTTCACAATTTTTTTTTTTTTTGACTTTTTTTTCTTTAAACCAAATTTTTTACCCAAAAATATATAATGTATAAATATGTATTTGTTGCTACCACACAAAATATAAATATGTATTGTTTTTGTTTTAATGTATTCACTGTTTTGCTTTTGCTTTTTTTAGTAATATCAAAAATGTTACAAAGTAGAGATTTTATTTTGGAGTATATATTTGTAATTTTAGTTGTTGTTCTTTTCTTCTTTTTGGAAATTTTGGTACCAAACTGGATATTAAGGAGCCTAGCTTCAATGGAGAATATTTCCGAGAATAAGCTGGGCCCAGGCTAAACTGAAAGAATAATTGGAAATCTAAATCCAAACCAACGTTCGTGGATTTTTTTATGCCCTCCACCATTGTATGGAGGGTATATTAAGTTTGTCATTCCGATTGTAACACCTCGAAATATACATTTTAGACCCCACAAAGAATATATATACTTGATCAGCATGCAATTCTATGGCGTCACTCTACCTTCCGAACGAAATGAAGTAAGTTGATACAATTTTACTCAAATGTACATTATGTCTGCAGGCCTTTTGGTATTGAAAATGGGCCATGTAAGTCCACGTTTTGGTATAGCCCCCATATAATGGTACCTCCCTATTTTCGGTATTTTGGTGATTTAAGCGACATTATTCACCGAAAATGTTTCAAATTTGGTATTTAAAGTTCGTAATGGATACTACAGCCTATGACAGAACATTGTCTGTTCAGGTCCACTTCTTCGTACAGCCTCATATAACGGCACCTCCCGATATTCAGTATTTTGGCGATTAAGCGACATTATTCACTGGAATTATTTCAAATTAGGCTCAAGAAACGTGGATTTTTTAAAGAATATTTTCAAGCCTAATTTGGCCCAATAAACGTGGATTTTTTAAAGAATATTTTCAAGCCTGAAGTACGCCCAAGAAACGTGGATTTTTTAAAGAATATTTTCAAGCCTGAAGTACGCCCAAGAAACGTGGATTTTTAAAGAATATTTTCAAGCCTGAAGTACGCCCAAGAAACGTGGATTTTTTAAAGAATATTTTCAAGCCTGAAGTACGCCCAAGAAACGTGGATTTTTAAAGAATATTTTCAAGCCTGAAGTACGCCCAAGAAACGTGGATTTTTTAAAGAATATTTTCAAGCCTGAAGTACGCCCAAGAAACGTGGATTTTTAAAGAATATTTTCAAGCCTGAAGTACGCCCAAGAAACGTGGATTTTTTAAAGAATATTTTCAAGCCTGAAGTACGCCCAAGAAACGTGGATTTTTAAAGAATATTTTCAAGGCTAAACAAGACCCAAAAAAGTGGAGATTTTAAAAAATATTTTAAAGCCTTACAATATTTACCTAAACCCAAGAAACGGGGATTTTTAAAATAATATTTTTAAGCCTAAACAAGGCTCAAGAAACGTGGATTTTTGAAAGAATATTTTTATGCCTTAAAAATATTTTCAACAGCTCAAGCCTTAACTAAGCTCAAGAAATTTGGAATTTTTAAAAAATAATTTCAAGAGCTCAAGCCTTAGCTAAGCCCAAGAAACGTGGATTTTTTTAAAAAAATATTTTCAATAGCTCAAGCCTTAAATAAGCCCAAGAAACGTGGATTTTTAAAAAATATTTTCCAAAAACGTGGATTTTTTAAAAAATATTTTCCAAAAACTTGGATTTTTAAAAAAAATATTTTCCCAAAACTTGGATTTTTAAAAAAAATATTTTCTAAAAACGTGGATTTTTTAAAAAATATTTTCCAAAAACGTGGATTTTTTAAAAAATATTTTCCAAAAACGTGGATTTTTAAAAAAAAAATATTTTCCAAAAACGTGGATTTTTTAAAAAATATTTTCCAAAACGTGGATTTTTTAAAAAATATTTTCCAAAAACGTGGATTTTTTAAAAAATATTTTCCAAAAACGTGGATTTTTTAAAAAATAGTTTCAATAGCTCAGTAGCTTTCAATTTTAAGAATAGTTCCAATCCTAAACAGAGCGCTCAAAGTTTATTTTTTTTAAGAGCAGTTTCTCACCTAAAGTGTGTTTTTAAAGAGTGATTTTTTTAAAATATTTCCAAATCTAAACTGAGACCTAAAAAATTCAAACCTAAAGTAGGCCCAAGAAACGTGGATTTTTTAAAGAATATTTTTAAGCCTAAAGTAGGCCCAAGAAACGTGGATTTTTTAAAGAATATTTTTAAGCCTAAAGTAGGCTCAAGAAACGTGGATTTTTTTAAGAATATTTTCAAGCCTAAAGTAGGCTCAAGAAACGTGGATTTTTGAAAGAATATTTTTATGCCTTAAAAATATTTTCAACAGCTCAAGCCTTAACTAGGCCCAAGAAAAGTGGCAATTTTAAAAATTATTTTCAAGAGCTCAAGCCTTAGCTAAGTCCAAGAAACGTGGATTTTTTAAAAAAAAATATTTTCAATAGCTCAAGCCTTAACTAAGCCCAAGAAACGTGGATTTTTTAAAAAATATTTTCCAAAAACGTGGATTTTTTATAAAAGATTTTCCGAATGATTTTTTTAAAAAATATTTTCCAAAAACGTTTTAAAAAATATTTTCCAAAATCGTGGATTTTTTAAAAAAGAGATTTTCCAAAAACGTGGATTTTTAAAAAAATATTTTCCAAAAACGTGGATTTTTTAAAAAATATTTTCCAAAAACGTGGATTTTTTAAAAAATATTTTCCAAAATCGTGGATTTTTTAAAAAAGAGATTTTCCAAAAACGTGGATTTTTAAAAAAATATTTTCCAAAAACGTGGATTTTTTAAAAAATATTTTCCAAAAACGTGGATTTTTTAAAAAATATTTTCCAAAAACGTGGATTTTTTAAAAAATATTTTCCAAAAACGTGGATTTTTTAAAAAATACTTTCCAAAAACGTGGATTTTTTAAAAAATATTTTCAATAGCTCAATAGCTTTAAATTTTAAGAATAGTCCCAACCCTAAACAGAGCACTCAAACTTTGATTTTTTTAAGAGCAGTTCCACACCTGTGTTTTTAAAGAGTGATTTTTTTAGAATATTTCCAAATCTAAACTGAGACCTAAAAATTCAGATTTTTTGAGAATAAAGTGAATTTTTAAAAAAATTTCCCAAATAGTCGTCTACGAGAATACCAAATGGCCTTCTACGAGAAAACCTGCTGCAGCAGCAGTTCAGTCGCCCATATTGGCCTATATAGCAGTCACCTATCAAGACTTCAGTGCAAGGTTCCTACAGTCGCCTATTAAAACTAGTTTCCACTAATCAATAATGACTCGTCTATAAAGGCTGTTCTTTCGTCGTCTATTAGTAATTCATTTTCACTCATCAACAAATATAAAAAAATTTGTACAATTACTTATTATAAATTATTTTAAAAATCAGTTATTAGAAATTAAAAAAATCTACTTTACTTCGTCTGCGTATTTAAAAAAACTAGCAAATACTTTGACGATAAGCCAATTTTTTAAGAATTTTTTCAAACCAATATTTTGGAGGGCTGAACTGAAAATTAATTTTTTTAGAAAGAAGAATTTATTCGAAGTTAATGTTGAAGGCTTATCAAGGCATAATATATATCGAATTTTGAAAAATATTTTTAACCCTCAAAAAAAATTTTTTTTTTAAAAACATTTCTAGCCAAAACTTAGTCCACGCTAATATTTTCAAGAATAATGTGATAAACGTGTTTTTTTCGATTATTTCCAAATCTAAACTCGAAATTTAATTTTCATTCAAAAGGCCAAAAACTCTCTTTCCCCGTTCGATTCCAAAATTCGCAAAATTCGTGTCGTAGAAAATTGTTGTTTTTTTTTTATTAAAAATAATACTATTTTCTTTTTGTTTCCTTAATCCTGTCTTGTTGTTGTTTTTCTTTTTTTCTTTTGTTATGTGTCTGCTGTATATAATAGAATCTTGTATAATTTTTTTCAATACAGTTTTCATATATATGGCTGTGTGTTTGTGTGTCATCTGTGTTCTTTTTATATTGAAAATATTTGATAACTATTAAAGTGAGTTTGAGGAGGCATTTTCATAATAATTTGATATTGGATATAATACAAAAAGGTACAGGATAAGGAGGCTGGAAAGGATAAGCTATAAAGTCACCAATTTGAAAAATAAGAAAAGAGAATGAAATTTAAAGCAGCTTTAGTTTTTTTTTTTTTTGTACAATTGAAAATTACAAATTAAACATTTATTTTGTTGTATTTTCTCGTTTTTTTTTCTTTGTTTTTTGTTGTTGTTGTATCGTTTACATAATATAAATAGTATATAAATACATTTTTGAGTTTATATATAATATAAATACTGACATAACTTATAACCTTAAAATGGATTACAGCTCGAAGGGGGCGTTGTGGCAGATGATAGGATGTTAAGGTGGCGATGGAAGGGTGATTAATAATCTAAGACGTAAAAAAAGGAAATATACAATTTCAAGAGAGAGAGAGCTGAGTAGGTAGTTATTCGAGTTGGGTAGATATAATAAATAGACACAGATTGGTTGAGGCTTAGTATTATTATCAAGTTAATTTTCAAATTAAATGTCAATGCATTTTGGGATACAATATTAAAAAAAATAAAATAATTTTTTATATAAAAAAATAAATTAATTTAAAATGCATAAGAATTTCGAAACTGTTTTTATTTAAGATTTTATACTGCATTCCATATTATTTTAATTGGACAATTTTGAAATAACGAACGCATTTTCGAATGTGATTTTCAAAATCTTAAAATCCAGAAATAGAAAAATTTATATTTTTTTCTAAGAAAAAATTAAAAAAAAAAATGAAATATCCCAAAATCTAGTCCCATTAGGTGGGGGGTTAAAAAAAAGTTTGATCGAAAACTGCCGTCCAAAATAAATCCATCATTTTACCTTTTCTGAGGACAAAATCCTTTTCAACAGCTCATATAGGCCTATTTCCGGCACCTGTTCGTTAGCTTTTTAATAGCCTACATCGAGACTTTTGTCCTCTAATGGAAAACAAAATGGTCTTCTAGGAGGAGATCTACTGCCCTTCTATGAGAAGACCAACTGCTCCTCTACGAGAAGACCAACTGCTCTTCTATGAGAAGATCAACTGATCTTCTATGAGAAGATCAACTGATCTTCTATGAGAAGATCAACTGATCTTCTATGAGAAGATCAACTGATCTTCTATGAAAAGACAAAATGTTCTTCCAGGAGCAGACCAAATAGTCTTTTAGGAAAAGACCAAATGGTGGACCAACTGCTCCTCCATAAAAAGATCAACCGGTCTTCTATGAAAAAAATGGTTTTCTACGAGAAGACCAGCTGGCTCTTCTATGAGAAGACCAATTGCTCTTCTATGAGAAGACCAATTGCTCTTCTATGAGAAGACCAATTGCTCTTCTATGAGAAGACCAACTGCTCTTCTATAAGAAATCCAACTGCTCTTCTATGAGAAGACCAAATGGTCCTCTACAAGAAGAGCAACTGGTCTTCTAGAAGAAGACCAACTGGTCTTCTAGGAGAAGACCAACTGGTCTTCTAGAAGAAGACCAATTGCTCTTCTATGAGAAGATCATCTGGTCTTCTATGAGAAGATCAACTGGTCTTCTATGAGAAGACCGATTGCTCTTCTGGTAGAAGACCAACTGCTCTTCTATGAGAAGACCAACTGCTCTTCTATGAGAAGACCGTCTGCTCTTCTAGGAGAAGACCAACTGCTCTTCTATGAGAAGGCCAACTGCTCTTCTATAAGAAGACTAAATGGTCTTCTAGGAGAAGACTAAATGGTCTTCTATGAGAAGACCATCTGCTCTTCTATGAGAAGACCATCTGCTCTTCTATGAGAAGACCATCTGCTCTTCTATGAGAAGATCAACTGCTCTTCCATGAGAAGACCAACTGGTCTTCTAGAAGAAGACCAAAAGGTCTTCTAGAAGAAGGTCAAAAGGTCTTCTAGAAGAAGACCAAAAGGTCTTCTAGAAGAAGACCAAATGGTCTACTATAAGAAGGACAAATGACCTTCTATGAAAAGACCAACTGGTCTTCTATGAGAGGAACTGGTCTGTGAGAAGTCCAACTAGTCTTCTATGAAAAACAGTTGCTATTTTCACGGAAGACCAGTATCGATATCTATGGTCTACTACAAGAAGACCAAATGGTCTACTACGATAAGACCAACGGGTCTTTTATGGGAAGACAAAACGGTCCTCTAGGAGAAGACCAAATGGTCTTTTAGGAGAAGACCAAATGGTCTTCTAGGAGAAGACCAAATGGTCTTCTACGAGAAGACTAAAAGGTCTTCAACGAGAATACCAACTGCTCTTTCATGAAAAGATAAAAACAAATCAATCAAACTTTTTCCAACACTCCCCCGTGTGGAATTTGTACAATTATTACTTATTTAAAAATTATTTTGTAAATCAGTTATTAAAAACTAAAAAAAAAAAAAAACACCTTCCTACTTTCCTTTGTCTGTGCGTCTGTTTAGAAAACCAAACAAAACAAATAAAAACTATTCAAAATGTAACTTAATATCTTAAGCAGATTTACTTTTATCCAATAAAGATAAAATATTGAGATTATTATAAGTTTTCAATATCGCATCGTCGGGAAAAATTTGACGAAGTTTAGACTCTAAAAATAGTTGTTGTTGTTTTTTTCTTGTTATTATAAATAAGTTATAAACAATATCGTTATAAATGCATTAAGTACATGATTAATACGACAGAAATAATTTTCATTACTGGCATTCGTTTTTCTTTTTTTTTTTTTTTTCATTTTTTTCTTGTTTTGGGGTTTTTAGAAAAATATGGGCCTGCAATAAGCGTTTTTTTCTTTTGTTCAAAAAAAGAAATAAAAATATTTGCATTATTTTTAAGCAGTTTTCCATGTGATTGATTTTTCCCCCTTTTTTTTTTTTTTGTTATTGACATTTTTCTTTTGTATATGCAAATTTTAGTTTGTGTATGTGGGTGTGTGTGTGTCAAAAATATATTATCTTACAATCTAATATAAGCAATACGACTATAATTTGTTTTGTTTTTCTTTTTTTAAAAAATATCGCACAATAACTTTTGAAGTTATTGCCTTGATTGGCGGCGGCTTCTTCACACATCATGTCTCAATGACACCAATACAAAATTTAAAACTAAAATTTGTTTTATATATATATAATAATTGAAAACAAACATACATCTACTCGTTCGCTCGTTCGTTTATGGCCAGTGAGGAGTTCCACTGTTCCAAAACAACAATAAAAAAAATTTTGTATAAAAAATTATTTATGTATATGTATGTAGTTAAAAAAAAAACATGGCAAGCTTGTTGAGAGTAGTTTGAAAAAAAAAACAATTCGTTAAATTAAAATTAAAAATATAACTAAATAAAATAAAATACTAGTTTTAGTGTTGTGTCTGTTGTTGTTGCTGGTGTTGTTGCTGTTGCATTTGTTGTTCTTGCAATTGCTGCAAAAGTTGTTGCTTATTTTCGGCCTTCACCGTTTTATAGCGATCCTTTTCCTCAGTGTTTTCCGGCGGCTCACACTCGAACGAGGCCATCGACAGAGTGTTTTCATTGAGTACCGGCACGTTTTGCAGATAGGCAATCACATTGGACAATTTCTCAAAGGGACACGACACCTGTTTCCATTCGTTGAACTCCATTACTTGTTTGGCAAGCTGAGAACATTTTTCGAAGTTGATATGATTGTTGGGTAGCCTAGGTGCAAGAAATAAAAAGATTGATTAATAAAAACTATCTATTCAATACAAAAAAATACATAGTGTTTGGAACCCGAAATCCCCATTCAATACTTGTTATTTTTTAAACAATTGCCTTCAAAAAGTCTTTAATGACTCCATTCTAGTGGTTAATAGATAATACTTTCTAACCGTCTATTTCCTTGAAGTCTTCTATAAAACTCCTTTTTATACCCTCACCCATAGGGCTAGAAAGGGTAAATATCATTTGATACGGCCAAAACGTGCCTCATCGAAATTACGGTTTTAGACTCTACGTCTCTTTGGACCAAATTCGTTTCACAACATTTGGAGTCGATCTAGCGATGTCCGTCCGTCTGTCTGCGTGGCTGGCTGGTGCACACAATAACTCTCGAAGTGAGTTTCAGATTTGATCCAAACTTGGTACATCGTAATACTATTGTCAAACTTAGATCGAGTTCGGAGATGGGCAATATTGGTCCACTCCTTCTGTTAGCTCCCACACAAAATGTCAAAGTTTTCAAAGAAAATAATTTACTGCACTGAAAGGGTAAGGATAATGCTATTTTGTTCCAACTTTGCAAATCCTAATATTTGCAACAGTGCTAGATCAGGTGCGAAAATGGACAATATCGACCCAATCCATCAAGTACCTCCACCACAAAGGGTCAAAATTTGGATTAATTTTTACTACTACTCTCAAGTTGCGATGGGAGGGAGGGGGTGGTCTCCTAGTACAGTATTCACTCTACAGGGTGAGATGGAAAAACTGCAACCAACTTCAGACTACTGTCATTTCTAAGCCACTCGTCCGACAGCCGTTAAAATTATTCCTGTGATAGCTTATTATATTGTTTACAAGCGTGCAAAAGCATTTAGGTGAGAATTTTCCAGAAAAAAAGTTGTTCGTGATGAAATTTAAGCGTGATAGTGTGATTATATTTGGCTGGAAACCCACAAGAGGCCATCGTTAGAGCACTCCAGCATTTAAATGTGGATAAATCTATTGTGTCTCGTACAATCGCTCGTTACTGTAATGCTGGTAGCGTAACCCAACGTCAAGGAAGTGGACGGAAGAAAGCAGCAAAATCGGCAGAAATGGTTCGAAAAGTAAAGAAGCGACGTGATCTAAACCCGCGTCCCAGTGGCCCAAAAATGAATCGTGAGCTGAATATATCGCAATATTCCATTCAGCAAATATTGAAAAATGAGCTCGGGGTAAATCCATTGAAGTTCCAAAACCTGCAAGAACTAACACCGCAACAGAAAGAGCTAAAGAGATGCTTCGCTTGGCCGAAAGTGGTGAACTGCCGAATTTGGTTTTCTCCGATGAGAAAACATTCGTTGTCTAGCAGTTTGTAAACAAACAAAATGATCGGGTTTACGTGCCAAAGGAGGTCAGCTGAAAATGTGCACCCTCGGTTGGCCGCCAGAACCCAAGCGCCGGCCATGGTAATGGTGTGGGCCGCCATAACAGCCGATGATCTCTCTCCGCTCGTATAAATCGACCGTGGCATCAGAATAAATACCGAATATTATCGTGAAAATATTCTGGAGGGTGTATTAAAGCCTTGGGCACGCAAACATTTTGGCCGCAGACCTGGGAGATTCCAACAGGACTCAGCACCATCGTACTCAGCACGCGCCACCCAAGAATGGTTACGAAATGAAGTTCCTCGCTTCATTTCCAGCGCACAATGGCCACCAAAATCTCCGGATACCAATCCGTTGGGCTATTGTTTCTGGAGCATTTTGGAAACCACCTTGCTTGCACTAAAAAATACCAATGAGTCGATCGCCTCAGTAAGCGCTTCGACGGAAATGGGCCAACACCATTCGGGCAGCGTGTGACGGTTTCATTGGCCGTTTGAGGGCCATAATTCGTGCCAAATGTGACCAATTCGAACAAATTTAAACTTATTCTAAAATTTGATGCTATTTCCGACATGTAAATGTAAAAATTATAGCGTTTGAATTTGTTGCAGTTTTTTTTTATCACACCCTGTATAGATACTCAAACCCAGTTGTCTATAAAGGCTTCTTTCCTGTAATCCTTAAATTCAATTTCTCGTGGCCTAAAAACTACGTCCATTGAAATTCAGGACAATTCGACTAAACACTTCTGCCTTGCCGACTATAAAATCTCCCCCTAATCGTTTAGGGAGACTTCATTCTAGATGTGTATAGAATATTATTGATTATTGTCTATTGAGACTCATTTGCGGTCCATTTTGTTGACTATAATATTACTTTCCAGGCTCACAAAAGGCCCCTTTTGAATTATTTAATGAGACTCTTTTCTAGTCGTCTATTGTGGGTTTGTTGGCAGGTGGGAGATAGAAACACTTACGTTGTTCTCAGACTCTACAAATTTGTCAAAGCCATTCCCTGGCCTTACTAACTACACTCCTCCCTATAAATCTTTTCTTCTCTTTCTCGCTTCAACATCTCTCATATTCCCAAATTTGACATTTTTTTTTCCTAGGATGAGCACGATGAACCAAAGGTCTCCGAGTGAAGCAATTGCCGAATTCGTATAGCTGCGCATGTTTAAACCAAACCAATTGGTGCTTTTTTCACTCAACTAGAAATACTCCCTTCCATATATCTACAGAGCATTTTATTGTCTATAGGCACTCACTCGTTACCAGTAGTTAACAAAAAATATTTTCCTATTGTCCATAAAAATAATTCCTCGTCATCTAAAAACTACTTCTCGGTTGCTTTCAAATTCCTTTCCAGATTCCAGTCCCTTTTATATAGACTTCTTTGATTTAGTCCATAGAGATTCCCTCCCCATTTTCTATATTCAGTCTCTTTCACTTATCTACAAAGACCACTTTCATGTCGCCTATAAAATTACTTTATAGTTGTCGACTTTTACTCACCTATTCGAACATCCCTCGTTGAGAAAATACAAATCCTTAACAAATAAACTAAAAAATGGAATGATAATACGTTCACGTTCTTCGGTGGCACCTTCAGAACGCCACATGGCCGCTTTCAATGTTGAGCGATAGCTATTAAAATTCGATGTTGGATCCATTTGATGTTCTAATACGGAGAATTTGGCAGATTGTACTTTAGACCACTGTAAAAAAGAAAAAACGAAAAATTATGTTAACGAAAGAATAATGTGAGGATAGATAGAAGACAAATACTTCTATGGATAGAAGATCTTCTATTTTATTTTAGAGTAGTCATGTATAGAAAATAAATAATCAAAATCAAAAATAGAGGATATCCTATGAATACAAGTAATTCTAGAGGCCATCAAAAATGGAAAATCTTTTTTGGAGATCTTCTATACTTTTAAAAATTTATAAATTTAAATATAACATCTTAGGAATCCGCTGAGAGTAGAAAACATCTAGTGGACCTTCAGAAGATTTCTGAAATATATCCCATTCGTTTAAGGTTATTTAGAATACCTCAGAAGTCTTCTATAAAAAAAAAAGACCCGTTGAAACTTTTGAAAGAACAGTTATCTATAGAATGCCTATCCAGCTTAAGGAAAGGGTTTCTATGCATAGAACCCTTCTGAACGGTCTTCTGTAGAGACAAGTCTTCTTCGTCTACTATCGATAAAGTATAGAAAAGGCCGTATATTTATATCAGAAAAGGATATTTTATTTATAGAAGATCTCTAAAAGACATCCCTAAAGAACTCCTAAAAGATATTTTGTTCATAGAAGACCCTTGAAACCCTTTTGTCTATAGAAGACATTTACAATGATCTCAAGATGGTATTTTATAAATTGAGGGCGTTTCTACAGGGTCGTCCATTTATAAATGACTACTAAGGATACTTTAATCTATAGAGGAAGTCTAAAAAGTCTATATACAAAAGATAAAGATATAAGTCCTTTGAAAAAGTCGGCCGGAAGACTTCTCCAGGGCATATTATTTATGGAAGACCTAAGAAAGATTTTCTATGAACGGCATTCTGTGTGGACAAGTTTACTCGGTTTCCTATTTATAGAAGGTATATGTTTTATTTGTAGAAGACTTCTGACCCCCTGAAGACTAGAAGACCCCTGAAATATCTCTTGTCCATAGAAGAAATGTGAACGATCTTCTGTCTAAAGAAGTCATATTTAAGGTTCTCCAAAAGGTTTATACCCTCCCTCCATGAAGGGTATATTAAGTTTGTCATTCCGTTTGTAATACCTTTAGACTCCACAAAGTAATAACAGCATAACATTCTATGTCGATTTAGCGATGCCCTTCTGTCTATCCGTCTTTGGAAATCACCTTAGCTTCCGAACGTAATGAAATAGATTGATAAAATTTTACTCAAATGTGTATTGTGTCTGCAGGATTTTTGGTATTGAAAATAAGCCATGTAGGTCCACGTTTTGGTATAGCCCCCATATAATTGTACCTCCCGATATTCGGTATTTTGATGATTTTAGCGACTTTATTCACCGGAATTGTTTCAAATTTGGTATTTGAAGTTCGTAATGGATACTACAGCCTATGACATACAATTGTCTGTCTTCGTATAGCCCCCTATAACGGTACCTCCCGATATTCGATATTTTGCTGATTTTAGCGACATTATTCACCGGAATTGTGTCAAATTTCGTATTTGAAGTTCATAAGTTCGTACTACAGCCTAAGACAGAAAATTGTCTGTGCAGGTCCACGTCTTCGTATAGCCGCCATACGACGGCACCTCCCGATATTCGGTATTTTGATGATTTTAGTCACATTTTTCAATGGAATAGTCTGTAAATCCCCACAAGATGTTCCCCCTGAGTACTTTAGTAGTTCCTTCCGAATGGTGGAGGGTATAAAAAGCTCAGCCAGGACGAATTTAGCTGCTTTTTTACTTGTTTTTATCTATTGAGGGCATCTACAAGGCCTTCTTTTTATAAAAGCCTTCTTAAAATCGTTTCATCTATAGCAAGGATCTGAAAGATCTTTAAAATACTTATCCAGGCTTTTTTTGGAAGTCCTCTGAAAAGTTATCTATGAACGTGTTTCTGTTTGGACATGTCCTTTGGGTTTTCTACCTATAGAAGGTATCTGAAAGGTCGTGTATCTATAGATGACCTCTGAAGGATATTCTACATACAGAAAACCCTCTGAAAGGTACCTTGTCTATAAAAGAAAGTTCGTTTGTTTATATAAAAGACATGCCAAGTTATTTTATCTATATATCTATATATCTCTATAGGGTTCTCTATTTATAAAAGCCATCCTTAGAAGCCTTTCATTTAGAAAAGTCATCTGAAATGGCGTTTATTTATTTATCTTTTTTTTTTTTTGACCCATTAAGCCCTTTTTATTTATAAAAAAATTCTCTAAACTGCTCTAATTTCTAGAAGACCCTGACAGAATAGACCTCTGAAATGGCGTTTTCTTTATTTGACCCATTAAACCCTTCTATTTATAAAATAATACTCTAAGCTGCTTTTATTTATAAAAGACCTCTGAAAGGAATATCACTGAAAGATCTTCTACTTATAAAAGATTTCAAAAAACCTATGTCAAAACCCCAATAATATTCTAATTACATTAGGTCTCTAAAAGCTTTTTTTATAGAACATCCCCGAAATGTCTTCTTTTTTCAGAAAAACTTTTCCGGATCCCTAGAAAACTTTTTTTAATTTAGAGATCCTTAAAATCTATTTTCAACAAAATCTCACCGTTTTCTTTAGCCTTGAAATGGGTGCCAAATTTAGACCAGCTATTATGGCCATCAGGCTATTGAAATTTCCAATATTAAAACATTCTCGGGCCGTTTCAATCCAATACTCAATGACACGCACACGCTGCTTCTTCTTGGGATACTAAAAAGAGGATTTAAAAAAAAAAAACAAAATTATTCGAATTTTTACAAATCTCAAGGATTCCGATTCCCATTTACCTTGACAATTTCCGAGGCCGTCAAATAACTGAGGCGATTAAACCACTCAACATACGATTCCAAGTTGCGTGTCTTTTTCATGTCATTCAGCGAGGTATTCATGATGTGACCACCACCCGAACCCGTCGTATTGCTGGCCTCTTTGTTGGTCATTGAGTTTTGATATTCCTTGGCAAAGGCCTGGACAAATTCTTCCGGTCCTATGTGTGAGAGACGATCCAATTCAATGGCTGTCAATTGATGAGCTAATTGAGCACAACTTGGACACAAGTCCATTATGCCGAAGACATCGTGAGCATTGGGTGAATCTGAGCCGGTACCACCCGCATTCGACGACGATGTGGAGGATGATGATGATGCGGCAGGTGGCATGGTGGAGTTGTTGTGATGACCCGCACCATATTGAGCAGCATTCGATAAGAAATTGTTTTTATGATGCAATGAATCCTGTTGCTGGTGACTGTTCAAGGCCTGCACCGAGGCCTTGGTCAATGAGTTGTGATGGACATTCGATGAGGACGAGGCCGATGATGAGGATGTCGATGAATAGGATGCCGATGCTGAGGTGCTATAATGGGGCTGTAGTGTGGTATTGAGATCATATTGCTGTAGAGATTGCAGAAACTCTTCGTATTTCTCGAGGGTGGTCAAACGCTGTACCAGTAGCTGTAGAATCTTGGACACCTGCTTGCCCAATGCATTGTCAATGTAGACACATTTGCGTGTCAAAATGCGCACCTGTTGCATTAGACGTTCATCGCGAAAATCATAGGGAAATGTTTCGATCCATTCCGCCAGCAGACGTATACAATTTTGGGCTGATTTCTGGGTGTTTGTTACTCCTGTTTGGCTGTTCGAAGGTTTTCTTTGTACCAAAGGAGAATTTGTTGCCGAAGTTTGATTAAAATGACCTGCATCGTCCACCTGATCTTGATTAACAGTAACAGCAGCAGCAGCAGCTGACGGAAGAACAGTACCAGACTGTTGGTGTTGTTGCTGCTGCTGCTGCTGCTGTTTCTCCCATGTTTGTGATATCTTGGCCAGCAATTCATGGGGTCTGATAAATAGCCTCGCACTTAGCAAAAATGAAAATGTATAAATCCTATCGGGATAATAGTCATGGGTGGGCACCATGTGTTCGATCAAAGCCTCTAGACTGCCACCCTCCAACTGGCCATCATAGTAGACCAACAGATCGTTTTTCAAGCCCTCATTGCTGTAGGGTGTTGTGGTGGTTGTGGTGGTGATCACACGATCCACCTCATCGCTGGCCGTCTCCTCGGCCCGATACACGGTTTGAGGTCGTATATATCTATATTTAGAGGCATCTTTTAGGCTTTGTGGCACAATACCCGTATGGGTATTATGGCCACTCACATTAGAACTATCACGTCGGTGTGTGGGTAATTTATTTACATGCACCAAAGAAGGTGCGGTATTGCAGGAGGAGGATGATGAATTCGAGTTCATGGTGGATTTTTTAATATTTACATATTGTTGTTGCTGTTGTTGCAGCTGTTGTTGGGGGTGATGAAGATGATGATGCTCGTTGTTATTCGATTTCAAGGACATGTGATGGTGTCCAGTTGTTGTGGTTGGTTTTCCATCCGGCAGTGTTACAATGTTGGCCCGAATATCATTTGTTTTAAGATTAATTGACGTTTTGGCTTGGGCGCCACCTGCACCACCTCCTCCTCCTCCTCCACCACCACCACCGCTATTGCTACTGCTTCCTGCCATGTGGTTTGTGGTTTTATTGGCAATTTGGACATTTGTTGTATGAATGGCATGAACATTTGTTGCTGTTGTTGTTGTATTGTTGGCACTATTTGTGCGCCCATTCGCAGCGCTATTTATGCCGTTATTCGACATTGACATTGGCTGTGTCTATGCACCAAAAACTAATTTTTTTGTTCAATCGTTCAAATTAAAGTAAATTATCGTTGTTGGTCCGCACACATGGGTGTCTTAAAATTCTGGTTGTTTTTGTTGCTGTTGTTGTTCTAGTTTTTGTTGTATAAAACATTTGGATGGCTTATTGACTGGCTTGGCTTTTTAGGCAAAGTAGAAAATCAATTGACTGAAAAGATAAGAGGAAGATGGATAACTTAATTAATGAGAAATAAACAATTAATTAATAAGAAATAAGATTAAAAAAAAAGAAAAAATTAATATCCAAAGGGGGGCAATGTGGATACTTTATCTGCGGATTTAAAAAAAATATATCTTTTTTTAAATACCTTCAGACGTGAATTTTTAAAGAATATTTTCCCCAAGTAACATCAGATGTGGATTTATGAAGAACATTTTTCCCCAGGACCATCAGATTTGGATTTTTAAAAAATATATTTCCCAAGGACCATCAGACGTGGATTTTTAAAGAATATTTTCCCCAAAGGACCATCAGACGTGGACTTTTTAAATAATATTTTTCCCAAGGACCATCAGACGTGGATTTTTTAAATAATAATATTTTTCCCAAGGACCATCAGACGTGGATTTTTTAAATAATAATAATTTTCCCAAGGACCATCAGACGTGGAAGTTTAAAGAATATTTTTCCTAAGGACCATCAGACGTGGAATTTTAAATTATATTTTTTCCAAGGATCATCAGAGTGGAATTTTAAATAATATTTTTTCCAAGGATCGTCAGAGTGGATTTTTAAAAAATATTTTTCCAAAAAATACCTTCAAATGTGGATTATTAAAAAATATTTTTCCCAAATACCATCAAATGTGGATTTTTTAAATAATATTTTTCCCAAGAACCATCAGACGTGGATTCTTTAAATAATATTTTTCCCAAGGACCATCAGACGTGGATTTTTTAAATAATATTTTTCCCAAGAACCATCAGACGTGGATTTTTTAAATAATATTTTTCCCAAGAACCATCAGACGTGGATTTTTTAAATAATATTTTTCCCAAGAACCATCAGACGTGGATTTTTTAAATAATATTTTTCCCAAGAACCATCAGACGTGGATTTTTTAAATAATATTTTTCCAAAGGACCATCAGACGTGGATTTTTTAAATAATATTTTTCCCAAGGACCATCAGATGTGGATTTTTTAAATAATATTTTTCCCAAGGACCATCTGACGTGGATTTTTAAATAATATTTTTCCCAAGGACCATCAGACGTGGATTTTTAAAGAATATTTTCCCAAGGACTATCAGACGTGGACTTTTTAAATAATATTTTTCCCAAGGACCATCAGACGTGGACTTTTTAAATAATATTTTTCCCAAGGACCATCAGACGTGGATTTTTAAAGAATATTTTCCCAAGGACCATCAGACGTGGATTTTTTTAATAATATTTTTCCCAAGGACCATCAGACGTGGATTTTTTAAATAATATTTTTCCCAAGGACCATCAGACGTGGATTTTTAAAGAATATTTTCCCAAGGACCATCAGACGTGGATTTTTAAAGAATATTTTTCCCAAGAACCATCAGACGTGGATTTTTTAAATAATATTTTTCCCAAGGACCATCAGACGTGGATTTTTAAAGAATATTTTCCCAAGGACCATCAGACGTGGACTTTTTAAATAATATTTTTCCCAAGGACCACCAGACGTGGATTTTTTAAATAATATTTTTCCCAAGGACCATCAGACGTGGATTTTTAAAGAATATTTTCCCAAGGACCATCAGACGTGGACTTTTTAAATAATATTTTTCCCAAGGACCATCAGACGTGGACTTTTTAAATAATATTTTTCCCAAGGACCATCAGACGTGGATTTTTAAAGAATATTTTCCCAAGGACCATCAGACGTGGACTTTTTAAATAATATTTTTCCCAAGGACCATCAGACGTGGACTTTTTAAATAATATTTTTCCCAAGGACCATCAGACGTGGATTTTTAAAGAATATTTTCCCAAGGACCATCAGACGTGGATTTTTTTAATAATATTTTTCCCAAGGACCATCAGACGTGGATTTTTTAAATAATATTTTTCCCAAGGACCATCAGACGTGGATTTTTAAAGAATATTTTCCCAAGGACCATCAGACGTGGATTTTTAAAGAATATTTTTCCCAAGAACCATCAGACGTGGATTTTTTAAAGAATATTTTTCCCAAGGACCATCAGACGTGGATTTTTAAAGAATATTTTCCCAAGGACCATCAGACGTGGACTTTTTAAATAATATTTTTCCCAAGGACCACCAGACGTGGATTTTTTAAATAATATTTTTCCCAAGAACCATCAGACGTGGATTTTTAAAGAATATTTTCCCAAGGACCATCAGACGTGGACTTTTTAAATAATATTTTTCCCAAGGACCATCAGACGTGGACTTTTTAAATAATATTTTTCCCAAGGACCATCAGACGTGGATTTTTTAAATAATATTTTTCCCAAGGACCATCAGACGTGGATTTTTAAAGAATATTTTCCCAAGGACCATCAGACGTGGACTTTTTAAATAATATTTTTCCCAAGGACCATCAGACGTGGACTTTTTAAATAATATTTTTCCCAAGGACCATCAGACGTGGACTTTTTAAATAATATTTTTCCCAAGGACCATCAGACGTGGACTTTTTAAATAATATTTTTCCCAAGGACCATCAGACGTGGATTTTTTAAATAATATTTTTCCCAAGGACCATCAGACGTGGACTTTTTAAATAATATTTTTCCCAAGGACCATCAGACGTGGATTTTTAAAGAATATTTTCCCAAGGACCATCAGACGTGGACTTTTTAAATAATATTTTTCCCAAGGACCATCAGACGTGGACTTTTTAAATAATATTTTTCCCAAGGACCATCAGACGTGGATTTTTAAAGAATATTTTCCCAAGGACCATCAGACGTGGATTTTTAAAGAATATTTTCCCAAGGACCATCAGACGTGGATTTTTAAAGAATATTTTCCCAAGGACCATCAGACGTGGACTTTTTAAATAATATTTTTCCCAAGGACCATCAGACGTGGACTTTTTAAATAATATTTTTCCCAAGGACCATCAGACGTGGACTTTTTAAATAATATTTTTCCCAAGGACCACCAGACGTGGACTTTTTAAAAAATATTTTTCCCAAGGACCATCAGACGTGGACTTTTTAAATAATATTTTTCCCAAGGACCATCAAACGTGGATTTTTTAAATATTTTTCCCAAGGACCATCAGACGTGGATTTTTAATAAAATATTTATCAAAAGGACCATCAGACGTGGATTTTTAATCCATTTTTTCCCCAAGGACCATCAGTCGTGGATTTTTAATCCATTTTTCCCCCCTTTTTCCAAAGGGCCATCAGAGTGGATTTTTAAAGAATATTTAAACCAAGGACGTTCAGACGTGGAATTTTAAAGAATATTTTTTCCAAAGGACTATCAGAGTGGATTTTTAAAGAATATTTAAACCAAGGACGTTCAGACGTGGAATTTTACAGAATATTTTTGCCAAGAATATTTTTCCCAAATACCATCAAATGTGGATTCTTTAAGAATTTTTTTCCGAAGGACCTTCAGAGGTGGCTTTTTAAAGAATATTTTTTCCATAGGACCATCAGATGTGAATTTTTAAAATTTTTTCCCCAAATACCATCATATCTGCATTTTTAAAGTTTTTTTTTTCGAAGGACCATCAGTCGTGGATTTTTAAAGAATATTTTAAACAGGGACCGTCGACGTGGATTTTTAAAGAATATTTTAAACAAGGACCGTCGACGTGGATTTTTAAAGAATATTTTGTATTTTGCAGGAATATTTTTTCAAGGATCTACAAGGGCATCAAACGTGGATTTCACGCGAATATTTTTCAAGGACCATCAAGTGTATCAAAAGTGAATTTTTAGAGAATATTTTTTTAAGGATCACCAAGGTAAATCAATCAAACGTGGATTTTTAAAGAATATTTTTAAGGGGGACCATTAAGTCGTTGAAATGTTCATTTGAAAGAATATTATTTCAGGAGCAAAATACCATCAAACATGGACTATAAAGGGAACCATCACGACCATCAAACGGGTATTTTTAAAGAATAATTCCCGGGATCAACAAAGCCACCAAACGTGGATATCTAAACAATATTTGTTTCAAGAGTCCACAAATATGTATTTTTAGGAATATTTTTTCCAGGACTACCAATTCTATCAAGCCTGGATTTTTAATGAATATTTTTCAAGGACTATCAATTCCATAAACAGTGGATTTTTAGGGAATATTTTTCAAGGACCATCAATTTCATAAAGAATATTTATAAGGACCAAAAAGACTAATAAACATGGATTTTAATAGAATATTTTAAAGGGAAACAAGATACCTGATATCCTGGATTTTTTTCAAGAACCAGCAAAAGAATAGTCTTGGATTTTAAAATAATATTTCAATTAATCATTGAATTTTAAAGAATATTTAAAAGGGGCCATGAGTTCTATAATCCTGCTTTTGACCCCATGGTTGAGAAGATACCAGAAGCAGTGGACCGAAGTATACCATCTTCACGTCGAATCTTATTTTAATAGAAATATTGGAATGTGAGAAGTTTGAAAACAATCGGATGCTTATTTCGGATTTTGTGCAGGGTAGGTTTACTCAAAAATTTTACCTTTTTATGGGGGAGGTACCAGAAGGAGTGGACCGATGTATACCACCTTCACATCAGATCTTTTATCGGTAGAAATATTGGTATGTACGAAGTTTCAAAAGATTTGGATGCTTATTTCACATTTTATGAGCACTTTGGCTATTCAAAATTTTGACCCCACTGTGGGGGAGATACCAGTGTGCAGTGAACCGATACATTCCATTTCCACACCGGTTCTTGTGTTGGTAGAAATGTTGAGATTTGTAAAGTTTGAAAAGAATCGTATGTTTTTTCGCATTATATGCAGGGTAAGGTTATTCCAAATTTTGAACCCGTTGTGGGGAAGGTAGCGGAAGGAGTGTACCGATATATTCCATCTCCACACCAGATCTCGTTTTGGTAGAAATATTAGAATTTAAGAAGAATCGGATGATTTTATGGCTCCGTTGGTGTGTGTGTGGTTAGAATCAAATGCTTTTTTCGCATTTTATTAGCGATTAGCTATTTCAAATTTTGACC